AGGTTATTGAAAATACCATGACTTAATTTAGGTGCACCTTAGTCCTCAAACTAGCATCTTTGCTCTTGAACACTTTAAAGAGGACTTGTGCATCAGATTTGCCTAATGCAATGCATCATTTGATTTTTTGGCTGCTGAATCTACTGGTGTTGATAGTGAATATAAACAAAACGAAGTCTTTGACAACGTCAATCTTTTCTCCATTTATAATAATGTTATTTATTGGTCCAGTGGTGAGGATTTTTGTTTTCTTTACATTGAAATGCAACCCATACCAAAGGTTGTGGTCTTTGATGTTCATCAGTAAGTATTTTAAGTCCTCTTTACTTTCAATAAGCAAGGTTGTATCATCTGCATATCACAGGTTGTCTTCCTTCAATCCTGATGCCATGTTTTTCTTCATGTAATCCAGTTTCTCGGATTATTTGCTCTGCATACAAATTGAATAAGTGTGGTGAAAGAATACAACCCTGGTGCACATCTTTTCTAATTTTAAATCATTTCGTGTTCCCTTGTTCTGTTCGAACAAATGCCTCATGGCCTATGTACAGATTCTTCATGAACACAATCAGTGTTCCAGAATACTCATACTTCTCAATGTTGTTCATAGTTTTTCATGATCCATTCAATCGAAAGCTTGTGCGTAATCAATAAAGCACAGGTAAATATCTTTATAGTATTCTCTGCTTTCAGCCAAAATCCATCAGACATCAGCAATGATATCCCTTATTTCACATTGTCCTCTTCTGAATCCAGCTTTCTATATAAATAATATTTTTAAACTTTCACAAATCTACCATATACCTAACACTATGTACCTACATTGTTTCACTATGCAAGTATTGAGTTGGTTCCAATTCACAGCAACCCTGTATAGGGTTTCCAAGGCTGTAAATCTTTATGGGAGAAGAAAGTCTCAGCTTTCTCCTGTGGAACAGCTGGTAGTTTTGAACTTCTGACCGTGAGGTTAGCAGCCCAACTTGTAACCACTACGCTTCCATAGCTCCTTTACATAAATAAAGTGAAAATGGTTTCTAAATATTTACTGGAGCAGGAAAATAATCAGTACCCACTCTGCAAAATGTAGTTTGAACCTGCAACAAATAATCTTTCCCCTTTTTTAGCAAAATGCCTGGCACCAAACAGTCATTTGGTGGCTATTGGTTAAATTAGTAAATGTTTGTAGACAACCTGCTACCCGCTTTCTCACATACGCTCTTTAAGATGAACATAGTGCAGAGAATCTGACAAATATTATATATTAAATGCCACTTGAATATTTTAGGTTCTAGTGAATTAAATAAGTGTGAAAAGGACTGATGATACATAGAGTGGGTATGAGTGTCCTTATTTATAAGACTAATAGTTTTTTTAAAATGTTTTATTGTGAATTATGTGATAGTTTACATGGGAGAACATTAGTTTTACATTCATCCTATTGTATATTGTTCCATTGCCATGGTTACAATACTCTCCATGCATTATCAACCAACTACAGGGTATACCCTGCAAGCCTGTCCCTGTGTCATCAGCACACAGCTTCTCTCCCTCTCTGGGTCTAAAGTCCCTAGCGGTTCCATCTCTCCACATCATTGTCTCTGCCTCCATCTCTGGCATCATTGCTTCTCTGGGTAGGGTCCCGCTCTCTGCTCTTCTC